ATATTGTTGCAACTCTAACGCCCATCTGGCAATACGTCCGGTTGGGTTGTTAATTGAGTTTAACCATTTGAGTGCCAGGTGGTCAGTGATAATTGTAAATTGGTATCCTTCTAGGTATGGTCGCATTTTGCGAATTGCCCAAACTATTGCTAAGCATTCCTTTTCAGTGGCTGAATACTTTTCCTCGGTTTGGTTTAAATGCCGGCTTGCATACGCAATGACATGTTCGACGTTGTTGATGGATTGTGTTAATACTGCTCCCAGTCCATGGTTACTTGCGTCTGTCTGGAGAGTAAACGGGAGATTGAAATCTGGACAAGCGAGAACTGGTGCTTCTGTTAGTTTCCTTTTGAGCTCGTCGAAGGCATCTTGTTGTTCTGATCTCCACTTCCAATGTTTGCCCTTTTTTAAGAGTGTGGTTAACGGGTGTATTATTCTGGAGAAATCTGGCACGAATCGCCTATACCATGAAGTGACTCCGATGTATTGTCGTAGTTGTTTTAGACTTGTCGGTGGGTTTAATTTTTGTATCGCTTCAACTTTTTCTGGATCAGTGTGTATACCTTGTTCGCTTTTTACATGTCCTAGGTATTTCGTTGATGTCTTGAAGAACTCGCACTTTTCACTGTTAATTCTTAGGTTTGCTTCGCGAAGTCGCCTTAACACTGTACTTAGGTTTTCTTTGTGTTCCTCGTAGCTGTTGCCCGTGACGATTATATCATCCAAATATGCAAAAGCGTAAGGTTCTAGATCCACCCCTATTACTCGATCTAACGCCCGTTGAAAAGTGGCGGGCGCAGAATGTAGGCCAAAAGGCATCACTTTCCATTAAAATAATCCGCGACCGGGCACGGTGAAGGCTGTATATTGTTTACTACTCTGTTCCATTGGGATTTGCTAGTATCCATCGCGAAGATCCAGACTGCTGATATATTTGGCATTCCTTAACCTATCTAAAATGTGGTGAATGCGAGGTAGAGGGTAAGCATCGGGGATTGATTGTGTGTTTAGTTGACGATAGTCTATACAGAACCTCCACTTGCCATTTTCCTTCCGTACCAACACAATTGGAGCACTGTATGCGCTTCTCGACGGTTCGATGTAATCGTTCTTTAATAGCTCGTTAACATGTTCATTGATGATTGCTTGCATCGCCGGGTTGCGTGGGTAATATTGTTGTTTGATGGGTTGCTCGTGACACATGATAATGCGATGTTCCGTGATGTTACTGGGTCTATTAATCTGTGAAAACTTATCTAATTCCGGTTTCAAATATTCCTTGAATTTTACCTCCATTGTTCCTTGTTTTGATGTTGATACTTGCATGGTGTTTGCTACCGTAGTCCCGTGTTTGTGATATCTAAACTGTAAATTTTGACCTCCGCAAGTTAATGAGGTTCCCATAGCAGCTAAGAAGTCCAGTCCCAAAGTTACCTCATCGATCAGGTTTGGTAGTAGAATTAATCTTAACTTTGTGGTTCTTGTCCCGAGCGTGATAGATGTTGCCAATTGTTGCTTAGTGGGGTGTTGTCCGTCATCCGCCATACGTACTTGTGTGGGTTCAGAGTTAAGGATGATTTTTCCCTTAAGTTTTGCTGCCGTTTGCGAATTGATGAAACTTCGCGAGGATCCTGTATCGATCGTTGCTTTTATGACTTGTTGATTAATAGTTACTTGGGCCGACAGACGTGATTCACTGAGCTTCATACATCCTACTGGTGGGACGGGGTGTTGTCTTGTGGTCTCATCGCCCCGTTCTGTCGATGGACCCTGACTTCGTTTCCCTGGTTCCTGCAGCAATCAATTGTACGTTTTCCTCTTTTCCCGCATTCCCAGCAAAATAAAATGCTTGTGAAACGACAATTCCACCTCAAGTGGCCTTGTTGCCCGCAACGACGACAAGCTGTCCTGACATCTTTGATCTTGTCTTCAGATGCATCAATCACTCTTGCTTTGATCTCCTTAGCCGGTAACGTATTTCTTACTTGACGGTCTGTAGCGGTCAGTGCCTCCAGGTCCCCAGCTAATGTTAACAGCTCGGATAATGACTGGAAGTCTTTCCTACGGATGTACCATTGATACTCGGTACGGCTGTTCCGGTAGATCCTCTCTAATTTTATCTCTTCACTGTATGTTGAATATTGCATGATGTTCTGCAGTGCCAATACATAATCTCTGAACAGTTCCCTGGGTTGTTGCAGGCGGGCTCGTATTTTGTCCTCTAATTGTTCGAAGTATCTTGGGGGCAAGAATAATGCTAATATATCTGCTTTGAATGATGGCCACTCGGTCCATCGCTTGTTGTTATTCCTGAACCAAATCAGTGCCTTGTCTTTTAGTACTTCAGGCATTAGCTTCGGTAATAAGTCCCTATGTATTCCGTACATATCCGCCAGTTCCTCGATCCGTTCTATAAATGGTAGTATTTTGTGTTCCCCTGAGTAGTGGCATTCCCTCTGGCCATTGCTTTTCAATTCCGGTGGGTGGCGGTGTAATCTCACTGGAAACAGATACTGCGATCTCGAGACACCTTAAGTCGTTCCCGGTATCACAATCCAAGGTGTCGTCTGGACTAGCTTCTCTGTATCTCGACAGGTTTTGCGACATTGATGTAGGTGGTCGCCTTGGACAGGTGGGTTTTCGGACATACGCTAACACATCAGGGTGAACAGGAGTAGCCGGTGCATACCGGTTGCCTTTCAATTTTTTCCCTGCAGCTACTATTTTAATTTCACTCTGCTGCGCCTTGAGCTTAGCCGAGTGTTCTCTGAATTTCTGAACGCTTTGCTCCCACTTTGACATGTTGTCGTTTCAAGGTTCTGCGATCGATTGTCTTGTTTGTTGAATGGTATCGTCTTTTATACTTGATTTTTATATGGGAACCGTTATTCTCTTGTTGTTTTAGGTGGTTTATTTTTATTAATTTGTGTTTTTCGTTCTCATGTGGCTTACTTTGTTTATTACTTTAGTTCATAAAATTGGCATATTTCAAGTCCTTGACATGTGCGGTGCGTGTCTGGTGAGTGGTTACATGCGTGGCCTTTACTATGACTGGCGATACCAAGGTGGTTATTCTATATGGACACCCGTAGCGTGGAGCTAGTTTCGCGGTAAACTCCTGGGTTGCTTTTGAGACTGGGTATTCTTTGATCCACACCAGTTGGCCTATGTCTGGTCGCCACGGTCTCCTTCGCAAATTGTAATACTTTGCTTGCGTTCCGGAGGCTTCTACGATGTTTGCCCTGACCGCCGAAAACACCTGTTGTAGTTGTGATTGTTTTTGATCTTGGTTCTTGGTGACTGTTCCGCATCCTGGTGTATATTTGTCAAAGGTTGCGCCTGGTAGTCTGGCTTCTCTACCTTGAACTAAATAAATGGGGCTATAACCCGTAGTTTCAGACACCGCTGAATTGATTGCAAGCTTAACTTCAGGTATAAAGTGGTCCCATGTTCCCATGCCGATTATTGGCATATTGAGCGATCATGGTTTTTATTGTCTTGTTTGCTCGCTCCGTGGGATTTTCTTGCGGTGAGTATGGTGCCGTCCTCTGATGTTTGACTCCAACTTCTTGTATGTAGTTTTCGAAGGATTTGTTGCGGAATTGTGGCCCATTATCTGTGATCAACACCTTAGATACCCCAAAATTTGCGATGATTTTTTCTCGGAATGCGACGATGGTGGCTTCGGTACTGGCCTTTCGTAGTGGAGTCAGTTCCACCCATTTACTGAAGCGGTCAAAAAAAACAAGTAACATCGTTTTCCCCTTGCTCGATCTTGGCAGCGGACCGACAAAGTCTGCTCAAACAGTTGCCCATGGCTCCTCGGGTATTTGGGTGAGCATTTCGCCTGTCGGTTTTAATTGACTGGCTTTGTATTGTGCGCAGACGCGGCAGTTCTTTACATACTGCCCAATGTCTCTGAGCATACCAGGCCAGTAGTATCTGCTAGTTATACGCTGTATTGTCTTCCGTATGCCGAGGTGTCCTGCTGTGGGGCTGTCATGATTTTCTTTAAAGATTTGTGGGTGTAACGACGCTGGTACGCATAACTTCCATGATGTCGTGTTTTCATAATTAGTGAAGTTAAGGATACTGCGATAGAGTTGGCCATTGGCTATTGTGAAATCTGGAAACCTGTCTGGATTTGTCTGTACTTCCTCGAATTTCCTTGTGAACCACTTACAATTACTTTGTCTGGACTTTGGAATTATTCGCGCAATATTTTCAACCGGTTGTCTGGACAACGCATCCGCGATGACATTTAATTTACCTTTTCGATATTGAACTTCGAATTGATATTGTTGCAACTCTAACGCCCATCTGGCAATACGTCCGGTTGGGTTGTTAATTGAGTTTAACCATTTGAGTGCCAGGTGGTCAGTGATAATTGTAAATTGGTATCCTTCGAGGTATGGTCGCATTTTGCGAATTGCCCAAACTATTGCTAAGCATTCTTTTTCAGTGGCTGAATACTTTTCCTCGGTTTGGTTTAAATGCCGGCTTGCATAGGCAATGACATGTTCGACGTTGTTGATGGATTGTGTTAATACTGCTCCCAGTCCATGGTTACTTGCGTCTGTCTGGAGAGTAAACGGGAGATTGAAATCTAGACAAGCGAGAACTGGTGCTTCTGTTAGTTTCCTTTTGAGCTCGTCGAAGGCATTTTGTTGTTCTGATCCCCACTTCCAATGTTTACCCTTTTTTAAGAGTGTGGTTAACGGGTGTATTATTCTGGAGAAATCTGGCACGAATCGCCTATACCATGAAGTGACTCCAATGTATTGTCGTAGTTGTTTTAGACTTGTCGGTGGGTTTAATTTTTGTATCGCTTCAACTTTTTCTGGATCAGTGTGTATACCTTGTTCGCTTATTGCATGTCCTAGGTATTTCGTTGATGTCTTGAAGAACTCGCACTTTTCACTGTTAATTCTTAGGTTTGCTTCGCGAAGTCGTCTTAACACTGTGCTTAGGTTTTCTTTGTGTTCCTCGTAGCTGCTGCCCGTGACGATTATATCATCCAAATATGCAAAAGCGTAAGGTTCTAGATCCACCCCTATTACTCGATCTAACGCTCGTTGAAAAGTGGCGGGCGCAGAATGTAGGCCAAAAGGCATCACTTTCCATTGAAATAATCCGCGACCGGGCACGGTGAAGGCTGTATATTGTTTACTACTCTGTTCCATTGGGATTTGCCAGTATCCATCGCGCAGATCCAGACTGCTGATATATTTGGCATTCCTTAACCTATCTAAAATGTGGTGAATGCGAGGTAGATGTTAAGCATCGGGGATTGATTGTGTGTTTAGTTGGCGATAGTCTAAACAGAACCTCCACTTGCCATTTTTCTTCCGTACCAACACAATTGGAGCACTGTATGCGCTTCTCGACGGTTCGATGTAATCGTTCTTTAATAGCTCGTTAACATGTTCATTGATGATTGCTTGCATCGCCGGGTTGCGTGGGTAATATTGTTGTTTGATGGGTTGCTCGTGACACATGATAATCCGATGTTCCGTGATGTTACTGGGTCCTTTAATCTGTGAAAACTTATCTAATTCCGGTTTCAAAAATTCCTTGAATTCTACCTCCATTGTTCTTTGTTTTGATGTTGATACTTGCATAGTGTTTGCTACCGTAGTCCCATGTTTGTGATATCTAAACTGTAAATTTTGACCTCCGCAAGTTAATAAGGCTCCCATAGCAGCCAAGAAGTCCAGTCCCAAAATTACCTCATCGATCAGGTTTGGTAGTAGAATTAATCTTAACTTTGTGGTTCTTGTCCCGAGCGTGATAGATGTTGCCATTTGTTGCTTGGTGGAGTGTTGTCCGCCATCCGCCATACGTACTTGTGTGTTCCCTTAAGTTTTGCTGCCGTTTGCGAATTGATGAAACTTCGCGAGGATCCTGTATCGATCGTTGCTTTCATGACTAATTGATTAATAGTTACTTGGGCTGACAGACGTGATTCACTGAGCTTCATGCATCCTACTGGTGGGACGGGGTGTTGTCTTGTGGTCTCATCGCCCCGTTCTGTCGATGGACCCTGACCTCGTTTCCCTGGTTCCTGCAGCAATCAATTGTACGTTTTCCTCTTTTTCCGCATTCCCAGCAAAATAAGATGCTTGTAAAACGACAATTCCACCTCAAGTGTCCGTGTTGCACGCAACGACGACAAGCTGTCCTGACATCTTTGATCTTGTCTTCAGATGCATCAATCACTCGTGCTTTGATCTCCTTAGCCGGTAACGTATTTTTTAATTGACGGTCTGTAGCGGTCAGTGCCTCCAGGTCCCCAGCTAATGTTAACAGCTCGGATAATGACTGGAAGTGTTTCCTACGGATGTACCATTGATACTCGGTACGGCTGTTCCGGCAGATCCTCTTTAATTTTATCTCTTCACTGTATGTTGAATATTGCATGATGTTCTGCAGTGCCAATACATAATCTCTGAACAGTTCCCTGGGTTGTTGCAGGCGGGCTCGTATTTTGTCCTCTAATTGTTCGAAGTATCTTGGGGGCAAGAATAATGCTAATATATCTGCTTTGAATGATGGCCACTCGGTCCATCGCTTGTTGTTATTCCTGAACCAAATCAGTGCCTTGTCTTTTAGTACTTCAGGCATTAGCTTCGGTAATAAGTCCCTATGTATTCCGTACATATCCGCCAGTTCTTCGATCTGTTCTATAAATGGTAGTATTTCGTGTTCCCCTGAGTAGTGGCATTCCCATTTTCTGACTTGATTGATTATCACTGGATATTCTGCCATGGTTACACTTCCTCCCTTAGTTATCGAAGGACGTCTATTTTCAATGACTCCCGGTGATGAGCTTCTGATATGTAGTTTAGCGAGTTCCTGTAGCCGGGCGGTATCTTTCTCAACAGCCTCTGAATCCATGAACGTTTAAAGTTTTTTCCGAAGTTCCTCCAGTGAACCACTTGGATCTAATCCGAACTCGTCTGCGTAACTCACCAGTTCCTCCTTTTTCGCGAAGTAAATCCAAGATTTACCTCCTGATGTTAATCGTTTTGCGCTTGTCGAAGCGACTGCTGTTTTACGGCCTGCCTGTCCTGTCACTTCCTTGATTCCTGATGGTACCACCGTTGGTTTGTCTTCCATACTCAACTGAAGATGTTGGTCAGTTTTGTTCCCACTGTCCCTGCTCGGGCGCCAATTGTAACGAACCTTTCTAGCCGGGGTTTTGCTCGCCGGATTCCAGGTGCAGTCCTACAATAAATTTATTTGTTAGGAACAGTGGAACGTGTGAATACACGGTAGATGGTGACGTTGGTGCGGTGATGTGGTTTGAAGAAATGTGAATTTCTTCTTTTTAACAATGTATTTGGCGTAGAAATATTACTTTCGACGCCCCTGAAGAAAAGGTTTGAAGAAATGTGAATTTCTTCTTTAAAACAATGTATTTGGCGTAGAAATATTACTTTCGACGCCCCTGAAGAAAAAAGGTTTGAAGAAATGTGAATTTCTTCTTTAAAACATGTATTTGGTATGGGTGATAATGTTCATGGGTTATTATCACCTTACCGAGTAATTGATTAACGAAATAGGGTTTCGTTATAGGTAATGAGTAATAGAAATTTATATTTCTATTACTAACGAAATGTTAATTTCGTTTTTGCTAATAATTTTTAATAGAAATATGTATTAAAAATTATAATTTATTAACGAAAATATGATTTCGTTTTTAGTAAATGAGTAATAGAAATTTATATTTCTATTACTAACGAAATGTTAATTTCGTTTTTGATAATGAATTTTAATAGAAATGTGAATTTCTATTAAATTAAAAAAAAATTAATAAAAAAGAAATCGAGATGTAAATTTCGATTTGTGGTGCTTTCAGCATGTGTATTGTGGAACAACCTGTTCGCAGCTCGATGTCTTGCTGAATCCCAGTCTACTGCTTTTGCTTCGCCTTTTATACCTGCGATGTGCGAAGCAAACAATATATTTGTTCTTGTAATTGCAACGGTGCATTGTTTACAAGTTTTTCTATTGTTTTTGATGTGTGTTGTTTTTTTTTTATTTTATTTTATTATTTTATATATTTTGTTTTGTATTATTGTGTAGTAAAATTTATGATTGTAAATTTTATGTTACAAATTGCTTAAATAATAAGCAGCTAAAATCGTATGGTTGCCAACACTAAAAATTCGTCTATTGTCAACGATTTTTGGAGGTACATACGAAATTTCGTTATCTACCAACGAATGATTTCGTTAGTTATTCGTATTTCATGTCATTATTGTTCGAAACAAATACGTATTTTTTCTCTTTATAATTTCACTGTTAACACGCGCGAACAATAACATTTCATTCAGAATCAAGTAGAAAAAAATATTCTCATCAGTAATCGCGACAGTTTGTTTATACTATGTATGTATATGTATACATTACGAACTTTGTTAAAGTTGATTCAGCGTTTACATTATCGTTTCGGGTTTTTATTTCGAC